TGCAAAACAAAACGAAACACTGCGCAGTCCTAAACCATCCTCACAGCCATTGTTATGCTTGAGCAAATTGCTGCTGCCACTGTGCCAATCCATTTCATTGGGGGTCTTCCTCTTTTCTGCTGACCCTCCACTTTAACAAGCATGATGTCCTTTTCCACGGATTGGTCCCTTCTGACAATATATCCGAACTATGAGAGATAAGTCTGGCCATCCTGGCTTCTAAGGAGCATTGTGGCTGTACTTTTTCCAACACAGACTTGTTTGTTCTTTTGGCAGTCCATTATACTTTTAATATTCTCCTCCAACAATCAAATGCATCAATTCTTCTACAGTCTTCTCTATTCGTTGTAAAGCTTTTACATACATGTATGAGGCAGTTAAAAATACCATGGTTTTGGATCAGGTGTACCTTAGTCCTCAAACTGATATCTTTGCTATTGAACACTTTAAAGAGGTCTTGTGCAGCAGATTTGCCTAGTGCAATACATTATTTGATTTCTTGACTACTGCTTCCGTGAGTGTTGATGGTTGATCTGAGCAAAATGAAGTCTGTGACCAACTTCAGTCTTTCTCTGTTTATCATCATGTTGCTTATTGGTCCAGTGTTAAGAATTTTGTTTTCTCTACATTGAGGTGCAACCCATACAAATACTGTGGTCTTTGTTCTTCATCAGTAAGCCCTTCGCTTTCAGCAAACAAGGTTGTGTCATCTATATATCAAAGCTTGTTCATGAGTCTTCCTCCAGTCTGATGTCATGTTCTTCTTCATATAATCCAGTTTCTTAAATTATTTGCTCAGTATGCAGATTGAATAGGTATGGTGAAAGAATACAGCCCTGGTGCATACCTTTCCTAATTTTAAACCATTCGGTGTCCCCTTGTTCTGTTCTACCGGCTGCCTCTTGGCCTATGTACAGGTTCCTCATGAGCACAATTAAGTGTTCCAGAACACTCATTATTCACAGTGCTGCCTGTAGCTTGTCGTGAACCACAAAGTCAAAAGCCTTTGCATAGTCAATAAAGCACAGATAAACATTTTTCTGGTATTCTCTGCTTTGAGCCAAGATTCATCTGATATTAGTAATGATATTACTCGTTCCATGCCCTTGCCTGAGTCCAGCTTGAGCCTCTGGCAGTTCACTGTCAACGTACTATTGCAGACGATTTTGGATTATCTTTAACAAAATTTTACTTGTGATATTAATGATACTGTCCTATGATTTCCACATTCTGTTGGGTCACATCTCTTTGTTGTTGTTGTTAAATGCCGTCGAGTCGGTTGCGACCCTGTACAGGGTTTCCGAGGCTGTAAATCTTAATGGGAGCAGAAAGCCTCATCTTTCTTCCGCAAAGAGGCTGGTAGTTGACCTTAATGTTCGCAGCCCAATTCGTAGCCATTACGCTACCAGAGCTCCTTACATCTCTTTGGAATGGGCACAAATATGGATCTCTTCCAATCAGTTGGCCAGGTAGTTGTTGCAAGTTTCTTGGCATAGATGAATGAGTGCCTCTTGTGCCACCTCACTTTGCTGAAAGATTTCAGTTTATCTTCCATCAATTCCTGGAGCCTGGTTCTTTGCCAGTTCTCTCAGAGCACCTTGAACTTCTTCCTACAGTATCATTGGCTCTTGTTTATATGCTCCCTCTTGAAACAATTGAATATGGACCATCTCTTTGTGGTACAGTGACTTTGCATTTCTTCCATCTTCTTTTAATGCTTTCTGCATCATTCAATGTTTTGCCCATAGAATACTTCAATAATGCAATTGAGGTTTGAATTTTTTCTTCAGTTTCCCCCAGCTTGAGAAATATTGAGCATCTTCTTCCCCTTTGGTTTTCTAACTCCAGGTCTTTGGCACATTTCATTATAAAATTTGACTTTGCCTTCTCAAGCTACTTTTTGAAAGTTCCTGTTCAGCTCTTTAACCTGCTCATTTCTTCAATTTGTTTTAACATCTCTGTGGTGGAAAGCAAGTTTCAGAGTCTCTTCTGACATCCATTTTGGTCTTCCTCTCCTTTTTTTTCTGCTTAATATCCTTTTGCTTTCTTTCTGTATGATATTCTTGATGTCATCCCGCAACTCTTCAGGTCTTCAGACAGTAGTGTCTCATGCATCAAATCTGCTCTTTAGATGATCTCTAACTTCAGGTGGAATATGTTCAGGGTCGTATTATTGCTCTCATGGACTCGTTTTAATTTTCTTCAGCTTTTGCCTGAATTTGCATTTGAGCAGTTAATGGTATTTTCCACAGTTTTGTTTTAGCAGATAGGTAGCTTTCCACAGATGTAGTCAATTTGATATCAGTGTAGTTCATTTGGTGAGGTCCATGTGTATAGTCGTCTTTAATGTTGTTTTAAAAAGGTATTTGCAATGAACAAATCATTGGTCTTGCAAAATTCTGTCATGCAAGCTCCAGCATCATTTCTATCACCAAAGCCATATCTTCCAACTACTGATTCTTCCTCTTTGTTTCTAACTTTGCATTTCAGTCACCAGTAATGATCAGTAAGTACATCTTGATTGCATGTTTAATCAATTTCAGATTAAACTGAAGAAGTTGGTAAAATTCTTCAATTTCTTCACCACTGGCTTTAGTGGTTGGTGTATAAATTTGAATAATAGTGGTATTAACTGGTCTTTCTTGTAGACATAT